GCCCCTCCCCCAACCATTTTTTTCCCCACCTATCCCCCTTCTCTTTTTCTTTTTCTAATATTGCTTCATTTTATGCTGTTAATTACCTTTATGTATATCTTTTTGACATGTAAGATTATTTTGAAGTAATGTACTTTTGTGGGAATATATGTGAATAAAAAAAACAAATTAAAAGAAAAAAAACAAATAAAAAAAAAAACAAAAAAAAAACAACAACAACAACATGTTACTTGCAATGTACTTATCAACATCACATTAACCAAACATGTTACTTGCAATGTACTTATCAACATCACATTAACCAAACATGTTACTTGCAATGTACTTATCAACATCACATTAACCAAACATTACTTGCATTGTACTTATCAACATCGCACTAACTACACATATTACTTGCATTGTACTTATCAACATCACATTAACCAAACATGTCACTTGCAATGTACTTATCAACATCACATTAACCAAACATGTTACTTGCAATGTACTTATCAACATCACATTAACCAAACATGTCACTTGCAATGTACTTATCAACATCACATTAACCAAACATGTTACTTGCAATGTACTTATCAACATCACATTAACCAAACATTACTTGCATTGTACTTATCAACATCACACTAACTACACATATTACTTGCATTGTACTTATCAACATCACATTAACCAAACATGTTACTTGCAATGTACTTATCCACATCACACTAACCACACATATTACTTGCAATGTACTTATCCACATCACACTAACCACACATATTACTTGCAATATACTTATCAACATCACATTAACAAACATATTATTTGCAATTTACTTATCAACATCACATTAACCAAACATATTACTCACAATGTATTCTATACTTAACCAGTGCAATTTGATAAGATCTGATGTGATGTGTTTGCATTTCCGAAAATGTATCTAGCTGCCATATTTTTGAGGCTTACCGATCTAAATTACGTCAATTTTATATGTATTCAATTAAAGTTTGTTGTCATACATCCAAAATTGAATGACTTCAATACATTCAACTAGATTATTTTGCTGACTATCAAGACAATTTGGTATCAATGACAACTACAACTGCATATCATCAGCATTCAGTTTGTAGATATGGCATAAAAGACCATAATGTTCAATAATGCAGCAAATTGAGTATGTATAAATGTTGAATAAGATTGGCACAATAACAGATCCCTAAGACAGTTCATGTGACACCAAAACACGTTTCTAACTGATAAAAGTCAATGTCAACTGTATCAAAGGCAGCACTCAAATCAAGTAACATCAAACATAATTCTCAGAATAATTATTCATTGTAATTTATTTTTTTAGGGTTTTACAGCTCCGAGGCAAATAACAAAGAAACCAAGTTTAGATGAAGAACCTCAAAATGAAATTCATTTGACTGCTACTGACCCAAAATGCCCGAGTTTCTCTTCACCATTATTCTCAACACCATATCAAATGCAACACAGGCAGCATTTCAATACTTTATATGCAAATGGACATGATGATGATATGCATGAAGGTCAATTAGAGATGCAGAATCAAGGCGTAAGCATTAAAAGTGAAACCTCTCAAAGTTATTGTGGTTCAGAAATCAAGATTGATATACCAGAGTCTAATTCCACTGGTGAATGTGACGACATTGATTGGAAAAATAATACTGATGTGATACAAAGAAACTGGGATAGAAATACTAATAAGTTTTCTTCTGGTGAAGTTCCTGTCAGATGCACTAGTAAACAATCGGATATTCCACCTAGCAGTGTTGTCTCTCAGGCTAACGTCCTGAAAAGAAGCACATCTCAGATACTTGCTCTGCTGAGTGGAAAACAAGTTAAACAGAGTGATTCACAGGGCTCAGTCTTACAAAATTACCATCCTGAACCAGATAGTTCATCTGTGACAAAAAATCTGATCCAGCAACCACTGTTTAGTTCTGCAATAGAAGTACCATATGAAACCAAACACATGTTGGATGCTGGAGAAAATAATGAACAGGGAGCAATTGAGTTGACAGGAAGTACAACCTGTACAGCTGCTTCTCGGCCTAGTATAAAGGAGGCACATAGTTTTGAAGTCAGTATCCTCTCAGATAATGCTAAATCTGTTGGTGATACATTAATAAATAACATGTATAAACAGCCATCCATTCAGTTCTGCAACAATGAGCTCTCCGATAATGAAAATGAAATTGGTTCCTTGAAAAGAAAAGAATCCAAAAAACAAAATGAGCTCTATACACAAAAAGAATTAACAAATAACAAAGAAACTATTAATACTCATTCCAATTATATTGAGATAGATTGGGCATTTGTACATTGTGATCAAAATTCTCCTTGTTTTGATCTTGATTTGTCTTCAGAAGATGAGAATTGTGATAAAAAGAATACAAGTAAACTTGAAACATTTGTAGAAAATGAGAACAGCAACAATTTGCAAGAACCTAACGAACCAAGCATTGAAAATCTGGAAGGAATTCCTAATGATATCGGTTCCTCAAATAAGTTTGAGCATACTAAGATGAAACACTATCAAAATTATGCCAAAGCAGAGCAGACACAAGCAAGTTATGACAATTGCTCAAAAGAAAACTACCAGTGTAAACAGAAAATTAGATATGGGACTATAAACTCCACTGATGTTGTTTTGTTAGAGGATGATTTCAACTTTGCTAAGTCAGGTAATGATGGAAGGTCAAATGATGAAAAAGAAAGAGAGAGAATTAGATTAGACACCTCAAACAGTGTAGAATCAAAATATGGACTTCTAGAGGAAATTAATTCAGACTACAGTAATGGGCATGTTGGTGAACTTACCCAAAGTATTCATGAATGCAACAGTTATAATAGCCAAGCGTCTTCCGTTGATACCTATGATTTATCTCTGCCTAGCCACTACACGTGTTCTTCAGATAGTTTAGGTAGACCTGAAACACCTGAGTATGAGCAACTGAGAGGGAGTCCTTTAATTGAAGATACTACAATCCTTGTAGAAGAAACATTACAGCAAAATCATTTGAGATGTAGAAGTCAAGTGATAGATGATTTTGATTTAAAATTTAGCCCAGTGCTTGATGTACCGACACATTTTGTAGGGATGCCTAACATAACAAGAGATAATGACAACTCTATTCAACTTCAAGATGGGTTAAGGTCAGAAGCAGCAGGAAACTTCTCTTATCATCAGGAGTTTGATTCTGATGTTGATACTACATTGCCTCAAATTGAAAGTTGTTACACCCATGATCTTTTGGAAGGCATGCCAATTTATGCAACTCATATGAAGAGTGACAGTGAAGTTAGATTTATCCAGCCGAGTTTAAATGATAGGGAATGCAATAGATCAAGATATGATGTATTTGAAGACTTGGATAAAAACTTGAACAAAGTAGAGGTTGATAGCATAATCAGTGATTCTCAACTTAGTCAGGAATTTGCTGATTTCTTTGAACCACGATATATGTATGAAAGGGAGCAAGGTAGGGAATATCCTTTTCCTAACAGTTCCTAAGCCCAGAAAAAAAGTTTCTGGTTAATTGGTTTCCTACAATTAATGCAGACTCACAATTCCTCTTATTTTAATTTTAAAATTGCCAAAACACAAGTGGTTTTTCAAAAGATTGAATTTTTTTCTTTTTTGTCTAGATTTAAATTCTTTAGAGTGTCAGTCATCTCTAAGACAAAGTGAATTGAACCAGTCCAATCCATGGAACTTGAACACATCCCTATTATCACCTTTACCACATCCATCTGAACTAAATCATTCATCAAGACTGAAAGGTACTTCAGGAAAGTCAATTGTACAGAAAGTGAGTATGAGTTATCTAACATTCCTAACAAATATAATATCTGGCCCATCCCCATCCCCATTGTCAAAGATAATTTTATTTGTGGTAGCTGTTTTCTATCCTCATCATGTACAGGCAAATAAAACTATGGACGAAAGTTGATGTCATGTGTCAAAATCAAAAGTTACAGATTTGAAATTAAAATTGTGATACATTATTTGCCCCAATTTATTAGGTCAAATGTCTGTGAACAACCTTGTAAGTAGACAAATTTGCATATTTAGACATGATTTTGTACACAATTGAAAAACAAATTTGCATATTTAGACATGAGTATAATTTCATCATTTTTATTCAGGCATCCAAAAAGATTGATGATAAACATTGGCAAAGAGCTGTTGTGAGTGGCACGGCAAAAAGAGGCTTAGCATCACTAAACTTGGATAATGTGACAGTAAAAGACTTTCACAATGTACCTGTGAACACCTGTAAAGTAGGTAAGACATCTATCATACACCATGACTCCTATTGGTTGCACATCCAATCATTACACTTTACTCTTGATTTATTATCTCCTGCTACAGGTGGATATAGTGGTTACCAGCATTTATGACTAAGGGAATTCAACACTCATCATTTTTAGTCCCCGTTTGGACGCAGTCCGAAAATGGGGACTTACCTAAAAACTCTAAAATTTCGACCAGTTTTAAATAATTTGT